ATCCCGTTCGCTCAGTGGGGAATGGACATATTGAGACCTTTCATCACTAGGTCAGCGGGTAGAAAATTTCTCATAGTGGCGGTGGACTATTTTACTAAGTGGATTGAAGCTTAGCCCACAAAATACATAAAGGCATCTCAAGTCAGAACGTTCATATGGAAGAATATCATCACAAGATTTGGGGTGCCACAATGCAGAGTTTTTTTTACCATGGCTGTCAGTTTGACTGTGACACCATCAAAGACTACTTGGAAGAAATGAGCATCAAGTACGCAAGTGCTTCAGTCTGTCACCCGCAGAGCAATGGCCAGGCAGAAGCAGCAAACAAGCTGATACTAGTAGCCTTGCAGAGAAAGCTAGAGGAGCACAAAGGCCTCTTGGCTAACCTAGTGCTAGAGGTGCAATGGGAAAATAGGACAACGGAGAAGGAGGCCACTGGCAAGAGCCTATTTGCCTTAGCTTATGGAGCAGACGCTGTCGTCCCAGTAGAAGTGCAAATTCCCAGCCTGAGAGTTCAACACTACAAACAGCAAGGAAATGAGAAGCGCCTGCTGGAAGAGTTAGACTTCCTCCCAGAAATGCGGCTAAAAGCAGCTCTCAAGCTGGCAGCCCAAAAGAGCAGAATCTTGAAGGCTTTCAATAAGAGAGTCAAGCACCGAGAATTATTGCCCGGAGATCTTGTTCTCAGAAGGACTACGGTAGTAGGAAGAGGAAACCAGCATGGAAAGATGTCAGCTAACTGGGAAGGCCCCTTCCTCATTCACGAACAAGTAGGATCAGGTGCTTTCCTCTTCTCTAATCAAGAAGGTTAAGTTCTAAGGAACATTTTCAATGCAGATGTGTTAAAGAAATATTTTGTTTAAAGTCATATGACTAAATAGAAGCATAGAAAAACTTTGTTTAAATTATGCAATGTTAATCAAGGCAGCTTAAGCCATTTAAATTCAATGAAATATGAGCCTCTACGTGAGGAGTATCCTACACGAACTTGTTTAAACATGTTTATTCATTACATTGTGCTCCAGCATTATAACTAACATGCACAAAAAATAGAGTAAACTAAAAATCACCATGGCAAAGCCAAAAACACCAAGGCAAGACATGGAAGGACACGTTGACACAAGGGGTTGATCTTAGAAATCGCCCAGACTCAAGAAAATCATCACTGCCTAGTTTGACCTACCAGCTCAAGATAAAACAGGGTACCACCTTAGGGACGCTTGAGGGGGAGGCCTGGCACGTTCAAATTAAGCTGGTAGGAGTGAATAAAAGACAAAACCAGAACTGAGCGGGCAACGCCAAGGTGCTCTTGGTCTCACTCAGCTCGTTTTTCGTGGGTAGTAGAGGAGATAGAACATTGATAAGCTCTTGCACAAATTAAGTGAGAAGCATAGGCAAAAGGTCATAGCCAAACAAGCTGAATAACATGCCCACAAGTCCTTACAAAAACTAAGTAGGTGACATAAATGCAAGCCCTCGTCACAAAAGATGAGTGGCACAAACCTAAAGTCCTAGGTGGTGGAAACTCCAAAGAACCACTAGAGGATGGGGGAGACAGCTGCCAAAACCTTTATTGCTCGTCAGCCAAAGTCTCCACTCCAATGGCAGCAGTAACGTTAGGGCAGAAGGGCACTTCTAAGTTCAGCACAACATGGCTAGGAACTTTACAATTGACAACAAAGGGGTGATCACCAAGAAGGTTGTGGCGATCATCGTGCCCAGCAAGGTCAACCTTAGCCCAAAAGTGCTTCCTTCCTAGCCGCCTCAAGCTCATTCTTCCGTCCAGCCTGTAGACAGCCATCTCAGCCTCCAAAGATTGCACCCTGACTTGAGAAAATCGCAGCTCCCTCTCACGGTCTACCAGTTTAGTCTTAAGGGGCTGGAGTTCCTCTAGCTGAATGATGAGTGCCATTTATGACACTCAAATGGAATTATTTTGGGATGATTTTAGATGCTTTTATAGCTTTCTTTATGCCTTATCCCTTAGTTTTAGTCTCTTATTCTCTAGTTGGTCTCATTCTCGTTAGTTCTACCTTTTTCCTGTATTTTCTTGGATTTTATGGTCTTTTCCCTTTTACTTTCTTGACTTTCTTTATTTTTAGGTGTAAGGTGAATTCCAAGACCCTTCATGCTGATTCCTTGAGTTAGAAGATGCTCAAGGTGCAAAGTGGAAGCTTACTTATGGCTCACAAAGCAAGTGATAGCTTACTCCAAGACTTGATGCTTGCGCCCTCATGCTGCGCTCACATGAAAATATGATGTTGAACCCACCGTCAATTCATTTTGGCACTGCCATCCCCAATGTTGATCAAGAGGAGCGAACCTCTTGCATTAAAAGAAAAGGCGGAGGAAGTCACATGCTCCAATGGCGCGCGTGCGGGTGCGCATAGAGGAAACCTAGTTTGACTTCTAGGAGATAACCCTTTAAGTTCTCTTGATTGAAATAACTATCCTCCTTTACAACATTTGGTCTATTGATTTCCCCTCAATTGGCATAACCATCATGATTGTGTGTGGAGCCTAATCCCTAGTGCTTTTAATATTGAATTCCCTCTTTAGTCTAGTTGTTTGAGACCATAGTTAGTCATATTCAACATCCTTCTTATTCTTCGAAATAACTACCTTTGGCTATAGTAACCTTTCTCCCATTCCTCGTGGTTTGATCCTTGACTTACCCTATACTTGGTTTAGGATTGGTCGAGTGTTTACAATTTTTGTTGATAAGGTTTTAAGCATTTAACGACGTGTTTTGACCCTCTATCAAATTGGCGCCGTTGCCGGGGAGTGGCGTAGTTGTTTGCTATATTTGTTGAGTCTATTTCATTTTATTTGAAAAAAAAAACAAAAAGATTTTTTTTTCTTTTTTCGGCTACATCTGTAGCTGTGCTACTAATAATTTCTTTTGAGATTGTATGCATAGAGCACGAAGTCGTTCTCTAGTGCCATTTGATCCGGAAATAGAGAGGACAATTACGAAGATAAGAGTTGCAAGGCGTTGCTCAAGTCCTTTAAGACAAGAAGAAGAACAAGAAAGAACGGGAGAAAACCCAAGAGTGGCATTTAAGGAATTAGGGATTCCAGGTGCATATAGGTTCGAGAGCGGGATTGCTCCACCTATAACACCGGCGAATGATTTTGAAATTAGACCGGAAATGATCACTTTGATAGTAAGGCAAAAATTTAGTGGGCCAAGCACGAGAGTCCTCTAAACCACCTCAAAGAATTTGAGAAGTATTGCAACACTATCAAAGTGAACGGAGTTTCGCAAGAGTTCATTCGTTTGAAGCTTTTCCCTTTTTCTCTTATAGGGTGTGCCTTAGAATGGTTGGATAAAGAAGTCAAGTTGAACTCATTAAGGACATGGGATGAGGTTACTAAGGAATTTCAATCCCGGTTTTACTCCCAAAAGGAAACGGCGGAGGCAAGAGCACTTATCCAAAGTTTCAAGCAAAGATCTAATGAAAGCCTCTATGAATCTTGGGAAATGTATAAGGATTATTAAAGGGAGTGTCCTCACCACGGAATTCCTACCTATCAAATCATTCAAATCTTTTATGGTGGTGTAAGCCCTCAAGGGAAGTCTTGTCTTGATGTAGGACCCGGAGGACCCATTATGAACAAAACGGAAGAGGAAGTTGTGGATATTATTGAAGATGTAGTGAGGCACTACATGGATTGGCAAGATGGTGAGAGGGAGTCAACAAGCAAGAGTAGCTCTTCGGTGTACTCAGTTGATCATCTAAATGTCATCAATAATTTGTCATCACAAATAACAAGCCTAAGGAAAGAGATGTCTTCGATCAAGTCAAAATTGGAGAATTCTACCTCCCAAGCTTCAAATATTCCCTCCCAATTTAAGGGGAAAGGTACATCTTCTAACTCTACTCCTCCTTCTTCCTCTAATAACATGCCTAGTGGATGCTTGTTTTGCGATGTATGTGGTTCATATGAGCATGATTCTTCTATGTGCCCTCATTCATTTGTGGATGGATGTGATGATTTTGATGGTAATGTGAATGAGCATGTGAACTTTAAGCCTAACAATAATGGATCAAGGTTTGATAATCAAAGAGGTCAAGGGAATAGGAATTATCACAACTAAGGCAATTTTGACAACTATAACCAAGGTAGTGGTTATAGGAACCAAGGAAACTAAGGTTTCCGGGGTAACTATAACAACCAAGGTTATAGTGGCGAAAATCAAAGCCAAGGTTATGGTAACCATAATCAATGCTATGGCCAAAATCAAAATAGGGGTAATTGGAACAATCAAAATAAGGGTAACTTTCAAAATAATGCTCAAAGGGGTCCCCCACTCGGTTTTGTTCCAAAGACCTAAGGTCAAGGTGATAATTCTTATGCTCAACATTCTTCTTCTAGATCTAATTTGGAGGATATCATTGAAATTCAAACCAAATTGTTGAACACTTACATGTCATTAGTGATAAGAAATTTAATGAAATGATGACCCATAATAAGATGTTAGAGAACCAAATCTCCAAATTAGCTAGTGCTTTGAAATATATTGCAAGCCCTTCTTCTTTACCTTCCCAAGGTCTTGACCCCAAGAAACCGGTTTATTCTATCACCACTAGAAGTGGCAAAGTGCTAGAGGAGAAAGTTTCTAAGAGGAGTCAAGAGAAGGAAAAGGTGAGTGATTCATTTGATGATGATGAGCGTGATGTGTCTAGCAAGAAGAGTGAGAGTTCTAATGAGAAGGCCAAGGATAAAGAGAGAATGCAAGATGAGGTTATCAAACCCAAACTTCCCTACCCCAAAAAGTTCATGAGGCACAAGTTGGATGAACAATTCAGGAAATTCATCGAGATGCTGAAGCACATTCATCTTTCTATTCCTTTCACCGATGTTTTGCAACAAATGCAAACTATTCCAAGTTCCTTAAGGAAATCTTGAGTGGCAAGAGAAAGTGCAATGTGGTTGATTCGGTGAGTGTTGGGGAATGTTGTAGTGCTCTTATCCATAATGACCTACCCATAAAGATGAAAGACCCGGGGAATCTCTCTATCCCTTGCAATATCAATGGAAAATTGTTCCAAAATGCTCTTTGTGATCTTGGTGCTAGTGTTAGCATCATGCCATATTCCGTTTTCAAGAAGCTTAAGTTAGGTGAGCTCATACCAACCAACATGACCCTACAATTGGCCGACCGTTCTATTAAGTTCCCCAAGGGTATAGTCGAGGATGTCCCCCTTAAGATAGGAGAGTTCACTATCCCCGTTGACTTCATTGTGCTAGAGATTACGGAAGATGATAATATTCCTATCATCTTAGGGAGACCATTACTAGCGACTTCGGGGGCTTTAATTGATGGGAAAGGCAGTATTATTACTTTGTGTGTTGGTAATGATAAGGCAAGTTTTAAGCTCAAGTCGATGCATGAGTCTCTATCTTACATGCAAGGAATTATGTGCATTAATTCATTTCCCTTGAATGATGATGCTTGCATGTTTGTGTCTTCTACTAATGATATGCTTGTAGCTTGTGATGATACTCCTAATTGTGTTTAAAGCAAGATTGTTAGTGAAGAAGACAAGGAGTCCTCAAATCTTGAGAATGAGATTGAAATGCCTTCTTGGTTTGAGCTTTCTTTGAAGGATGACGAGAATAGTTTTTCAAGTGTTGGTCATGTGGAGCTCAAAACTCCAAGGAAGAAGAAATCAAGGAAGAAAAAGAGAGTTCCCAAGAAAAAGAAAGAGAAGTTGAAGCACAACAAGTTTGATCAGGTTTCTATGATTCAAGATGATATGTCTCATGTTGTGATTTTTCCCAAGATTAGCAATGACTTTACCCTCTCCACCACTTTGGACAAGGTGGTCTTCTGTGACCCTCCATGATTTGGAGGGCGAGTCAAGCTAGGGACCTTAAACTAGCGCTTCCCGGGAGGCGACCTGACCCTCTAACTTTGATTTTCTCATTACTTGATTTCATTTTGAAGTTACTAATATGTGTTTTGAGTATAGTTTGTTTTCATTTATTTTCCTTATTCTTGTCTTGTAGATCAAGTTTAGCTTTGTTGGAGCTATGTGGAGGTGTGAGCTCCTCTTTGCTTCTTTTCTTTGCTTAGCTTGGATCGCTTAGTGAGATCTTTCTATTTTCCCTTCTTTTATTTTCTTTGATTGGTTGCTTTAGGATAATTTTAGCTTAGGAGGAGTTGAATGGTTCGAGAATGTATGCTATTAACACCTAGTGTGTTTGGGATCGTTGACATTGTGGTTGAATGATCATTGTTTGTCGATTGGGATTTACTTGCATATGCTTATGTCCTTTTATCTTATCACTCCTTCTTTGTTTCTCCTTTTTTTTCTTTTAAGCAACCTTAATCAAGGCAATTTTTGCAAAATGTATTTTTCTATCACTCTTTGTTTGGACAATTAACATTGGTCTTGTGTATTTAAATGATTTCCTTCTTTGTGATACATGTGTGCATGATTTGAGAGTGTTAGTGGTTGATTCTAGGATATTGCATGCTAAGGTAGCCAGTCTCAGAACTTTAGGGTCCATGAAGCCTTAGTTCATTAAAAGTGGTAAGATGGTGTTGCTTTTCATAGTGGATTTGATACCTTTGGGTTAGTATTTGTTTCAAAAGATCCCTTGAGAGGTATATTGTTCAAGCCTTCATCATCTTTGTTGAGCGGCATTTTAGATCCTTGGCTATGCATGTTTTAATCTTTGGTTTGTCCACTAGCTCTCAAGATCGAGACCGAGCCACTTTAGGGGAGGAAAAAGGTTCTTTTCATTTTCTTTTGTGTTCCTTTTATTTAGTTACTTTCTTGTTTTTATTTTACATTCACCCTCTTGCTACCCCTTTGAGCTTACTTCCATTTATTCGGTTACTAACCACATTACAAGCCTATCGACCTTTACCCTTAGTTTTGAAGCTTTGGTTGGACGCTTGTTATGTCAATAGTTTGGATTTATGGTGGTTGAGTCCGAAATGGAAAGTTTGTGATATTAATATGCAAGAAGAACAAGAAGTATGAAATAAAGGGTGCATAATGTTTGATTTTTGAGTGTTATACCAAAAAAAAAGAGCATTTATAGTTCAATAAGTGTGAAATGTCATGAATTACACCAATGAAATCTTTGTTATGATCGTTTTTCGAGTTTAAGCATTGAGGACAATGTTTTGTTTAAGCTTGGGGGAGCGTTGCTTTGCTTTTGAGAGTTAAAGTTTGGTGTATTTGTTGAATAAGCTTGGGGAGATGGAATTTTTGTTTTTTTTTTTTTTTTTTTTAATAATTGGTGACTTCTTAAGTTTGTTTCTCAGAGATGGCCACTCTTTTGCTTCACTTAGGAATTACCACCAAATTTTCAAATTTTTGTCCACCTATACCTTAAGCCATGACATTACAACCTTGCAAAGTCCTTTAGCCCTTAGAGGGTTGAGTCACAAGTCGGTGGAGGGAAATGGTTTTCAAACCTATAGAGAGGAATGTGCATAGCTAAGACGTCGGGATAACCTTCTCATGTTTTTCATTTCATTATATTTTTTCGGTTCCTTCGAGGAATCATGAGGAGCTAACTCAAGGGTTGATTTAAAGCTAGTGGAGAGAACGCGGTAAGACTAGTGGGGACGAGGGTGGATTGAGTCTCCTATAATTCTCTATGCTTATCATGTTCTATGTTTCAATCAACCATTTACATCTTATAGCATGCATACATATATTGTCTAAGAAGTCTCTCATTCATTGGTATTTGCTTCCTTTTCAATTGTCCAACTCAAGAGCTCTTTTTGTTTTTTATTTCTTGATTTTTATTGCTTTGCCTTGACTTTGGTTGCTAGAGTTATGGGTTAAACTCTTTGGAAACCCTTACGAGACCTCACTCGTCCTCATTGGCGACTTTGGGTTTTTAAGGGCTTGTTGTAGCTAAAAACAACCGTGATTCCTACGAAACTGAGTTAGTGTATATTCTGGTCCCCTTTCTCTCCTTTTTCTTTATTTGAATAAGTCTTTCATCCTACTCCTACTTGCTTTTGTTTTTGCTCGAGGACGAGGAAAAGTTTAGCTTGGGGGAGTTTGATAAGTGTCATTTATGTCACTCAAATGGCATTATTTTGGGATGATTTTAGTTGCTTTTATAGCTTTCTTTATGCCTTATCCCTTAGTTTTAGTCTCTTATTCTCTAGTTGGTCTCATTCTCGTTATTTCTACCTTTTTCCTGTATTTTCGTGGATTTTATGGTCTTTTCCCTTTTACTTGCTTGCCTTTCTTTTATTTTTAAGTGTAAGGTGAAGTCCAAGACCCTTCATGGTGATTCCTCGGATTAGAAGATGCTCAAGGTGCAGAGTGGAAGCTTACTTATGGCTCACAAAGCAAGTGATAGCTTACTCCAAGACATGATGCTTGCGCCCTCATGTTATGCTCACATGAAAATATGATGTTGAACCCACCGTCAACTCATTTTGGCACTGCCATCCCCAATGTTGATCAAGAGGAGCGCACCTCTTGCATTGAAGAACGCACAGAGAAGAAGTCCCCTGCTCCAGTGGCACGGGCGCGCATTCATCGGGCACGGGCGCGCAAGGTGCTGGCGCGGGCGCGCCACTTGAGCTTTCTGTTCCGTACCCCGTTTTTCATGACCGCGCATTCCGGAGAGAGGGCGCGCCTGTACGGGTTTCTTTTGGACGTCCACTTTATTTCTCCTTAGTTAGTTATTCTAGAGAGAGTGAACTTTTGATTTATATATTTGGGGAGGCTAGGAGGCTAGAGAGAAAAGTTTTTGGAGTTAGTTTTGGAGCTCTTAGATTTTAGAGAGAGAAACTCTTGGATTTTGATTTGTACTTCAACATTTGCTTCAATCAAGTTTGGATATCCTTCAATCAATGATAATTAGTGAGATTTTCTTCCTTTAATTCCTCTCCATTGCTTGATTTTGCTTTTGTTTCATGAATGATTGTTTGATTTGTTGATCTTTTGGTTAATAGTTTGATTGATTTGAATTTCTACTTGATTTAGTTTAAGATGATAATGTTTGTGATTTACTTAGTTTTGTTCTTAAATTTCAATATGCTTAGTGAGTAGACTCCTTGCTAGGGAGATGGTGAAGCATGCATGAATGATGTATTATTGCTAATGGAAGGATTTTGATTGATTGAATGTTGTGATTAAATTGGTTGATAGAATTGTGCATGTGGTTGAATTGTTAAGGAGTGATCAACCTTGATTTTCAAGCTAGATTGCATTGTGATTTCTAATGACACGAACCATTGATTTAGGGATTGCAATTATTGATTGAATTTGATTTGTGATTCTTCTTGCTAGTCATTTATAGAGGAAACCTAGTTTAACTTCTAGGAGATAAACCTTTAAGTTCTCTTGATTGCAATTACTATCCTCCTTTACGTCATTTGGTTGATTGATTTCCCCTCAATTGGCATAACCATCATGATTGTGTGTGGTGCCTAGTCTCTAGTGCTTTTGATACTGAATTCCCTCTTTAGTCTAGTTGTTTGAGACCATAGTTAGTCATATTCAACATCCTTCTTATTCTTCGAAATAGCTTGACCTTAGGCTATAGTAACCTTTCTCCCATTCCTCGTGGTTTGATCCTTGACTTACCCTATACTTGGTTTAGGATTGGTCAAGTGTTTATAAATTTTGTTGATAAGGTTTTAAGCATTTAACGACGTGTTTTAACCATCTATCACTGAAGCTGTAGGGCACCCGCTCTCTCCTTTAGAGGAGCCACCTCACCAGCAAGTGCATCCTTCTCAGAGTAGACCCGCTAAATCTGCTTATCCTTCTCAATAAGAACAACATTCTGATTCTGATACTCTTTCTCCACTGGCATTGTCTAAGTCACCAACAGAGTTGGTAAGCTGCAGAAGAAAGAAAGACGGAAAAAACAATAAGTTAGAGGTGAAGGGTAAAGTAAGCAAGAAGGGAAACAAGAAAAGCCAAGGCAAATGAAAAAAGCCTAAGCATATAACAAACTAACCTTCTGAAGATCATGGCACGCACTGGAAGCCGAAAGGCTGACTGAGCCACTAGTAGAATTATCTGGGAGACGAATACCCTGAGTAAGGCGGTACCCCAAAGTACCACCTAGTTGTGGGTTATCTACGAACAAAGACTCGTCAGCCCAAACATTCATTAGAGGCCAAAAGGAGCATTCTCAGCCCCAGCAGAGCATAGCACATGGTGAAAGGCAGCGTCAATAGGCACCTCCCCAAACTCTATAGGCCTAGTAGGGCGAAAAGTGCCAAGAGTAGATATAGAGGTCGCTGAAAGTGGATTCTCAAAAGCATCACTCAGGAACTGGTGAACACAACAATTAAGCTCGCTAGAGTTATGGGTGTCAGTATCCTTCATAGCATTATCACCAAGAAGCCCAATATTCGCAGAGTGAGAAGCAAGGGGATCTAGCGCAAAGGAGGTGCGAGCCCTTTTGGCAGCAGGCTGTTCATCGCCAGCTGAGGACGAAATCACTAGGTCATCCTCCAGATCGATAACTGGATGAGCCTACGGATGTGACCCCGCAGGCTGAGAATCACCACTTCTGCTGG